CACACACACACACACACACACACACACACACACACACACACACAGGGGCTCTCTTTCTTTCTCTCTCACCACAGACACGCGTACACACACGCAGGCGTACACACGTACACACACGCAGGCGTACATACGTACACATGCACACAGTTGTTATTACACTGACCTTTCCAGACTGTGCTTCAATGGGTTCAGGCAGTGTGTTCCCACTGAGACTAGCAAGCAGGGGGCTGCTGTAGGAGTCACCGTCATAAATAAAGAGGTAATCATAAGCGCACTCTGTGTCCAGGAACATGAAGGTCAGGATGATGCGGAAACTGCCGTTTGGAGCTTTCAACAAATAAACCAGTCAGAATCAGACGGACATGAAAAACACCCAAACACAAACCCCCTGCCTGGTCCCCTTTATACCCGGGCCCTTCAAATGCCTGGACCCTGAAATGCCCAGCCTAATTCCTAATACCTTCCCCCCCATGCCCAAAATAGCTCGTGTCTCAACAGGATTCATACATCACCTGAAAACATATGTGCGTGTGCATTTAGTAACTGAAGGTAGAAGTGACTTCTCACAAACTTCACTAAAAACAAACTCAGCCAGAAAAATCAAAGCATCATGTGTCACCTCATGTGTCTGGATTAGGAACAATGGGGTTATAAATTGCCACACAGACACAGTCTTTCTGATTTGCCTTGTAGCAGCTTCCTGGCTGCTAAAACATAGGTACATTGCTAACTTGGCCAAACAGCAAGGGATACTGGGTACGTTGGCCAAATAAAATTCTGAAGTCACAAAATTCACACACCAGACACAGTGCAAACCCAGCAGCCAGATGCTAATGATGTTAGCACAATGTAAAAGGCAATAGTTATTCTGGGCAGACATATTTCCAACAACGTATCCACTAAACAAAGGAGACCCCAGGCAGAAAGGCATCGGGTCCAGCTATTTAAAGAAACTAACTGCAGCATGTCATCTAAATGATTAATTCTTGTTTCAAACAATTCCGTGTATCTCCTTGATTAGCAAGAACTATAGAAGTTCTAGAAAACCATCTAAAAGGTATAAAGAGATAACAAGGTGTAGAGATGGATGTACACAGCAGGCCAAGCAGCATCAGAGGAGCAGGAAGGCTGACGTTTTGGGCCTAGACCCTTCTTCAGAAATGGGGGAGGGGAAGGGGATTCTGAAATAAATAGGGAGAGAAGGGGAGGCGCAAAGAAGATAAATAGAGGAGAAGATAGGTGCAGTGGGAGAGAGATCCACTGAGGTTTTTCCGGAGGGAGGAGGGTAACTTCTTCAAGGTAGGCATCCTTAGAAGAGGCTTCGTCGTGGGGTTAAAATTGTTTCAGAGATAGTAGGAAGGGTCTAGGCCCAAAACGTCAGCCTTCCTGCTCCTCGGCCTGCTGTGTTCATCCAGCTCTACACCTTGGTATCTCAGATTCTCCAGCATCTGCAGTTCCTACTTATCTCTAAAAGGTATAAAACCAGTATTCATCTACAGACCTCTCTCTCTCATGTAACCGTTTTTACAGTCTCAAATCATCCGATGCCTTTTGAGGAGACCAGCATAGCAAAAAGCAGAGACCAGCTGACCATCCAGAGAGAGAATAGGAGAAAGCAGCTTCACAGAGCCACAGAGAGTGTGACTGTGTAAACTTACAAAAGACTTGGGAACGATTGTAAACTTAAGAGGCCAAATAAGATTACAGACAGGATGTTTAATAGTAAAGGTTATTGTAACTTTGTTCCCAGTAAAGTGGGAATGTTTTGCTTTGGTACCGGCTTGTGGTCTTATTGATTTGGCTGCTTTGTGGGATACCTGGGCAAATTCATTCGTAACATTCTGGTCGGAGTTGTCTGAATTGTTTTAAAGACAGACAAGGCCTCACGCAATGGGAAATCACTCCAATCCTGGAAGAAAATGTGACAATGACATTCCATAAGCTCTGACATGGGCTATAGACAGCCGTACTCCAATATCTTTCTGCTCACTCACTGATGAACTGTATAGCCTGCGAAAAGGTCTGAAACTCCGGGACTTGATTACAAAAAAACCCTCTTATACAGGGCAGACAATAGTTTGCCTGTGCTCAGTTCTGACAAGCTGCCAGATAGTGAACGTGGGTTCTCAGACAGTACATTCCAGACCCTAACCACTCAAGTGAACCTGCCTCCCTCCCACACTCAGAGGGTACAGACCCTCCTAAAACCAAACATTCACCAAGCGTCTGCTCACAGTCCTCCTGATGTGTCTTGGTGTGAACTCCCTGATGATATTGCTCCTAGATTAGTCCATGGTATTCTGCTTAAAGGCATCCGAGCCTAGTTTCTGGAAGTGAAACACTTCACACCCCGGGGGAATGTGTGCAGCCCCTTCCAAGCATCAATCTATCCTCGCTGAGGGGCAGTGTCCAGAACTTCTCACTGTCAGACCAGAAAGAATTGCACTGAGTCTGCTGCCCACCCGTACAGAGTGAAGGAGGCAGGTTCACTCGAGGGGTTAGGGTCTGGAATGTACTGTCTGAGAGTGTGGGGGGGGGGCAGGTTCACGCGAGTAGTGAGGGTCTGGAATGTACCGTCTGAGAGTGTGGGTCACTCGAGGGGTTAGGGTCTGGAATGTACTGTCTGAGAGTTGGGGGGGGGGGCAGGGTCACTCGAGTAGTGAGGTTCTGGAATGTACCGTCTGAGAGTGTGGGGGGGCACAGGTTCACTCGAGGGGTTAGGGTCCGGAATGTGCTGCCTGAGAGTAGGGGGGGTGTCAGGGTCAAACTGTTCCCCGAGAAATAGGAACATGCCAGGTGACAGAGGAAAGCAGGGGAACTGGCTCAATATGGGTGAAGTGGCCTCTGTTTGTGCTGGAAATATTGGATGACGTTGTGAGGAGATTTGGAGAGTTTTCGAGACACGATGACCTGGGGAGAGGAATGCAGGACGACTCACCTCGGATGAGCCACTCGCAGTTGCCGCCGACGGAGTAGTTACCCGGGCCATCAGTCACGTAGCCCGGCTGCTGGGCCAGCTCTTGTCGGTGCCCTTTACATTCTCCAGCACGGCCTCTATGTCCCAGCAGCAGCAACAGGACAAGCAACAAGGTTGGACTGACCACTGCTCCCGGCCTCCTGCTCCTGCTAAACGCCAATGCCGCCGCTCCCATCCTGCCCCCCGCCTTGTGGCCGCACTAACAGCTACGGTCAGCACCGAGGCTGACCAACAGTCTGGCCTCAATCACCAGGATAGCACAGCATGGCCTTCGGAGCCATCGGGAGCTGCAAAGTAAGACACAGGGTTCAGGAGAGGTACGCGCACACGCGAACCCCGTCTGCACACGGACACAGCCTGCACAGTCTCCGTAACGTCCATTTGGCCACAGAGATCGCTCAATGTCCCACTGAATATTCACTCAGCCTCACCGGCCTCTCCCTGTCAGTAT